ATAATTAAAAAAAAAGAAAAAAGAAAAAGGGGAAAAAAGAAAAAGAGAAAGAAAAAAGGGGTAAAAAGAAAGCAGAAAAAAGAAAGAAAAAAAGAAAGAAGACAAAAAAAGAAAAGACAGAAAAAGAAGAAAATCGAAAAACGCATTATCCTCACTCCGCTCACGTGCAAATGGCCGCTGTGACCCGCCACAAGGACTACAACTCCCGTGATGCTCCGCACAGTGCGCAGGCGCGGCCGTGGCCGTGCGGGGGCGTGGCCGCGCGCTGATTGGCTGCGGCGGTGTTCTCTAAGCGCGGTGCGCGCGCAGAGCGCCGTGTTGACTTCCGGGAGTCGTTGATGGCGGCGGGGCCCGCATTGTGCTGTAAGAGCTGGCGGGGGGTGCGGGAGAGCGGGGTCTGGGGATCCCCTCGGGGGCTGCGGGGAGCGCGGCTCTGGGTGGAAAGGCTGGAGGGCTCGGGAGGGTTTGGCGGGGGCTCGGGGGTTCCCGAGGGTCAGAGCGCGGGGCCTTGGAACCCTCTCGGGGGCCGCGGGGCCCGGGGGCCTCCCAAGAACCCGAATGGGTGATTTGATTCCTGAGAAAGTCCCTCGGAAAAAAAAAATCAAAACCACCCGACAAAAAAAGAACCCTAAAAAAGGGAAAAGTGAGAAAAAGGTGAAGAAAAAACTGCAGGGGCCAGGATGATTTTATTGCTTTGCTTCAGTTTTTCCTTGGTCTCCTCCTTCTCAGGTTTTCTGCTCTCTTCCTTTACAGAAAGCTCTTCTGCTGTTGTGTGGTTTTGGGGTCCCTGGGGGTTCCCTGAGGAGGTTTTGGGGGGTCCCTGAAGGGGTTTAGTGTCCTGAGGGGACTTAAGGGGGGGGGGGGTTGACGGTCCCTGAATGGGTTTGGGAATCCCTGAGGGAGTTTTGGAGTCTCCGAGGGAATTGGGAGGTCCTGGGGAGGGCCTTTGGGGGGGTCTTTGAAGCAGTTTTGTGGGTTTCTAGTGGGATTTTGGGAGTTCCAGACGGCTTTGAGGGTCCCTGAGGGGGTTTTTTGGGTCCCCTGAAAGGGCCTGGGGATTCCAGGTGGGTTTTGCAAGTCACTGAGAGGGTTTAGGGGGTCCTGGGGGGATATGAGGTCTCTGAGGATTTCTGAAGGGATTTCAGGGGTTCTGAGGGGATTTTATGGGGTCTCTGTGTCAGCAGACCGACCCCAGGGAAAGGGGATCCCAATGCCTGCCCCGAACCCCAGAGACCCCCAAAACTCAGCACACAGAGACCCCACAGGGGGTCCCGGGGGTCCCCTAAAGCCCAGCAGTGGGGTTCATGGGGTCCCCCAGCCCCCAGGGGAGGGGTCCTGGGGGTGCCCCCCAAAGTGCGGGGGGGAGATGAACCACATCCGGGTAAGGGGATCCCAGTGCCCCCAGTATATTCCAGTGACCTCCCAGTGATCCTCAGTACAGCCCAGTAACCCCCTCAGTGACCACCCAGTGTGTCCCAGTGACCTCCCACTGCCCCCCAGTATGGCCCAGTAATGCTCCAGTGTGCACCCAGTAACCCCCAGTATGGCCCAGTAACCAGCCAGTGTCCCCCCATGTGTCTTGGTAATCCCCCAGTAACTCCCCAGTCCCTCCCAGTGCTCTCCCAGTGTCCCTCAGTAACCCCCAGTCCCTCCCAGTGCTCCCTGGTTCCCCCCAGTGTGTCCCAGTACCCCCCAGTAATCCCCCAGTGCCCCCCAAAGCCCCCCAACTGTCCCCAGTGTGCCCCCAGATGCCCTTGGCCTTTCTGTGAGCAGGGGGGGAGGGGGGGGGCGTTGTTGTGGTCAGAGGGTCCGGGGGGGGCTCCTGGGGTGAGATGGAGGGTTGGGGGCATCAGGGATGAGGTTTGGGGACAGTGGAATTGGGGGTGTCAAGGGGGGAATTGGAAGCACCAAAAGGGTCTTGGGGACATGAGGGGGGTCTCAGGACTGACCTGCTTGTAGGGAAGCCCCTCCTCTGCCCCTCTAGGCCCCATTAACCCCCCACCAAATGTCCCCCAACTCCCCTTTTTTTCCTTTAATCCCCTCCCCCCACTGATCCCTTTGACCCCCCAATGCCCACAAGACCCTTTTAACTCCCCCAAATGCCCCCAAAGCCCCACCAAATCCCCATCCAACCCCTCCAGATCCCCCCAAATCTCCCCCAGCTCTTCCTTCAAATCCCTCCCAACCCCCCCCAAGAGGGATCACCCGGCACCCTGGGACAGGAACACAGTGGGCTGTACTGGGGGCACTGGGCTGTACTGGGAGAGCACTGGGGGAGCTCAGGTGTCCCACAACATCGTGGCCCAGCTCCAGGAGAGATCTGGGGAGCAGTGAGGGGGTACTGGACTGTACTGGTCTGTACTGATCTGTACTCCTCAATCCCCAGAGCCCCTCCCCAGCTCCCCCAGGACCCTCCCGCACCCCAAAGCCCCCCAGGCCCCCCCAGGCCCCTGACTTGGTCCTGCTGCCCCTTGAGCATCTGCAGCTGCTGCAGAACCAGGCATTTCATCAGCAAATGTGCAGGTGACCCCAAGCTGGGGGTGTGTTGATGTGCTGGAAGGCAGGAGGGCTCTGGAGCACAAGTGGTGAGGAGAGGCTGAGGGAGCTGGGGGTGTTGAGGCTGGAGAAGAGGAGGCTCAGGGGAGACCTCCTGACTGTCTGCAAGTCCCTGCCAGGAGGTTGGAGCCAGGTGGGGGTGGGGCTGTTCTGCCAGGAAGCAGCAGTAGGACAAGAGGGCTGGGTCTGGAGCTGTGCCAGGGGAGGTTTAGGTTGGATATTGGGAAGGAATTTTTTGCTGAGAGAGTAATGAGGCCTTGGAATGGGCTGGGCAGGGAGGGGGTGGAGTCCCCGTCCCTGGAGGTGTTGAAGGTGAGAGTGGATGTGGCCTCAGTGCCATGGTCTGGGAAGCACGGCGGGGTTGGATCCAGGGTTGGACTTGATGATCTCGGAGGTCTTTTCCAACGTGGCTGATTCTGTGATTCTCTGATTCCCATTCCTGTGGCAGCACATGCTTGAGGCTCCATCCCCAGGGTGATGGAGATGTCTGTCCATATCTATCTGCAAGGTTAGTCTGTAAATGTGTGGTGTTAGAAAAGCAGGCTGAGTTCTGGGCTGGTTGTAGAAGGAGAAAGAAGCCCCCAGGCCAGTGCAAGCAGGCAGCCCTCAGCTTGCACCTGATGTCCCCTCCCTGCAGGTTCCTGTCCTTGAGCCCAGGCCCTGAGGTGAGGCTGAGAAGTGGCGCGGAGGTGAGCCCAGAGCTGTCCCTGAGGTGAGGCTGAGAATAAGTGCAAGGCAGAGGTGCTGCTGAGGAAGGAGAGCCCCGTGGTGGGGAAGGCACAAAGCTGTGAGTGCCCATCCCCGAGCAGGTGCTGTGTCCATCCCCTGTGTGCCAGGTGAGCTGGGGCTTTGCTGCAGAGCTGCGGGCGCTGATTTGAGCGGCTGCAAGTGCTGAGATGGTGGGCACCCAGGAACACCAACTGTGCCTGGCCACGGAGCCTGCAAGGAGGAGCAGAGACAGCCCTGGCAGTGTGGGGGGCCAGGTTGTCCCTGTGCCTTCCCCTGCAGGCCCTGGCTGTCCCTGCTGGGCCCCTGTCCATCCTCCCCTCAGGTCCCTGCACACCTACTCTCCAGAGCTTGACTCACTGCAGACTTTGCAGGGAAATCTGTGTTGGCAGCTGCATCCTGAGCCCGAGGGCCGTTTGTATCCCCGAGTGCTGATCCAGCCTGGGGACCCAAGGGATCCTCTGCCATTCCATCCATGCAGCAGGAGTCACCCTGCTGCCCTTGACTCCCTGCAGAGGAACAAGTGCCATCTCTCTGTTTGGGAGAAGCCAGATGCTGCCCCTGGGCCATCAGAAGTGGTGCTGAAGCCTCTTTCAGCCCAGCCCTGGGTGCAGTTTTCTCATCCCCTCACCGAGTGCCCGCTGCCCCAGCCGGCACTGACCAACCAGGGTGTTTGGCACACTGGGATTGGTGGTTTGGAGAAACAGCCCCAGGCTGGCAGGGGGCCAGAGGACCTCGAGGAACAGCCCTGGCGAGGTGCCTGCACTGTCAGGGGGCCAGGGGATCGCTGCTCCACGGAACCGGCTGGAGCTCTGGGTGACCCTGAGCTGAAGGGCCTGTGAGCTGTGGATGAGTCCAGGATGGAGCAGAGACCCCCCTGCAGCCTGGGAGGAGCCCACGCCAGAGCAGGGGATGCCCAAAGGAGGCTGAGAGCCTGTGGGAAGCCCCTGATTTCCAGGGCTGCCCCCGTGCCCCAACTTGGTTTAAGAAGAGTTTTTTTGGGCTAATTTTTAATATTTTATAGTATTTTTTAACTGAATCTCATTTTTTTGCAGTTTGGGGGAGTGGGGGACTTCTTGCTATTTCTGAGGGGTTTTTATCTGAATCACAGTTGTTTGGGTTTTTCTGGGCTGAATCTTGGTGTTTTGGAGGTTTCTATGGTCAGAGGATGCCCAATGAGTTTTAGAGATGGACTTGGGCATTGGGAACCCCCAAGCCAATGCACTCAGCCCTTGTTTTCCCCCCCATCAGGATTTCTCCTTCCCAAAGCTTGGCCAGATGAAGGAGGCTGCGAGGAAGAGGAAGATGCCTTGTTCCCCCCAGGCAGGTGAGGAGGAAGTCAGTGTCCCTTTGGGCGGGTGTTGTGCTGGCTCTGTCAGCCGAGCATGGCCCCGGCTGCAGGACAACCCCGCTGGCGCCGCCGTCCTGCCGGGGCCGGAGTTGGGGGGATGTCCTTGGCCTTCCCTGTGGGCCGGAGGCAAATCCCCTGCCTGTCCTTCTTGCTTCCTGCCCCAGGCCCCGAGGTGAGGACGGAGAGCCCGGAGGACAAATCCCCCCGTGAGACCCTGGTGGGAGAGGCCGTTTTGAAGGGCTCCCCGGCGCAGGAAGGCAGCGGGGAGGAAAAGGGCCGGAGATCCCCCCGCAGGAGGGGCTCCAAAGCCAGCCCAGGGTGCTCTGAGGAGGAAAGAGCCAGCCTGTGCCGGGAAGGCGGCCGGAGCTTGAGGGGGAGCTCTGAGCTGGTGGTCCCTGAGCAGCCTCCCAGCAGGGAGAAGCCCTTCAGGTGCTTGGAGTGTGGGAAGAGCTTCAGCCTGAGCGCCAAACTCCTCACCCACCAGCACATCCACACTGGGGAACGTCCCTACACATGTGGGGAATGTGGGAAGAGCTTCAGTGACAGCTCCACCCTCCGCAACCACCGGCGCATCCACACCGGGGAACGGCCCTACAAGTGTGGGGAGTGTGGGAAGAGCTTCACGCAGAGCGCCAACCTCCGCACCCACCATCGTATCCACACTGGGGAACTGCCCTACACATGTGGGGAATGTGGGAAGAGCTTCAGGCAGAGCGCCAACCTCCGCACCCACCAGCGCACCCACACTGGGGAACAGCCCTACACATGTAGAGAATGTGGGAAGAGCTTCAACTGCAGCTCCCACCTACGCAACCACTGTCGTATCCACACTGGAGAACGGCCCTACGTGTGTCAGGAATGCGGGAAGAGCTTCAGTGACACCTCCACCCTCGTCAAGCACCAGCGCGTCCACACCGGGGAGCAGCCCTACACATGTGGGGAGTGTGGGAAGAGCTTCAGTACGAGCTCCAGCCTCCTCACCCACCGGCGCATCCACACTGGAGAACGGCCCTACAAGTGCTTGGAATGTGGGAAGAGGTTTCAGACCAGCTCAAATCTCCTCCAGCACCAGCGGACGCACAGGGATGAGAGGCCCTTCCGCTGCACCGACTGCGGGAAGGGCTTCAAGCAGAGCTCTGACCTTAACACCCACCGGCGCATCCACACTGGAGAACGGCCCTACAAGTGCTTGGAATGTGGGAAGAGGTTTCAGACCAGCCCACATCTCCTCCTGCACCAGCGGACGCACACGGATGAGAGGCCCTTCCGCTGCACTGACTGTGGGAAGGGCTTCAAGCAGAACTCCGCCCTCGTCACCCACCGGCGCATCCACACCGGGGAGAGGCCCTACAAGTGTGGGGAGTGTGGGAAGAGCTTTGCCCACAGCTCTTCCTTGACCAAACATCAACAGACCCACCGTTAAAAGAAGCGCTACGAGTGGCCCGACCCCCATTGGATGATCCATAGGAACTCATTTTGGGCACAGACCTGGTGACCCACGTTCCAGGTGATCCATGCTGGGCACAGACCTGATGACCCCTGTGTCCAGCCCTTGTCCCGACCCCCCTGACAGCAAGAGTGACCCAGGGTCTTGTAACTGATCCCTTGGGGAAGATTACAGTTAGTTTATCTATCTCTATCTATCTATATATATGTAGGGTTCAGTTTAGATCAATTTTGTTTCCTTGTAGAGTAGGTTTGGGGCAGTTTTGGCTCCTGTCTATAGTGATCTAAAACCATAAAAATAACACTTCCTCTCTCTGGCTCCAAGCCCAGCCTGTCCCCTCCAGGGGTGGATGTTCTCCCCCCCTTCCCCGGGCGGTTCCTTTGCCCCTGGGCAGCAAAGCCCCCGCTGCTTCTGCAACTGGAGAGTGTTGGAGCCGTGGACCATTAACATTCCAGTCTCTCCCAGCTCTGCATCCCAAAAGTCGAGCGGGATCAATGTGTCCCCTCAAAGTGACTCAATCCCGTAGCAGTTCATATTCCAGGCAGAATGCCAAAGGGCATCCTGGGACTCAAAGTCCTTCGGTCTCTGTCGCACGTGCGCAGTGAAGTGCTCGGATGGGAGTGCTTGAGGAGGTCCCATGTCACCGTTTGAAGTGTCTGTATAAGCTTGTGTTGATCTTAATAAAGCTCATTGGGTTACTGCACCCCCGTGTCGACTGGGTTCGTGCAAGACAAATGCTCTAAATGGCCGCCCCAATCGGGACATTCAACAGGCGTCGGTAACCAGAGGCCACAGGCCTTGGGACATCTTGCCATGGCATCCGTCCTGATGGAATTCCAAGGAAAAAGGAAGAGCTCTTCGACAAATCGTGCGCATCAGTCACCTCTGCAAAGACAGGACAAAAAGGGAAAAAGGACAAAAAAGGACAAAAGAAGAAAAATCCGGCTTCGGCAAACAAGAGGTGACCTATTAGGATGGGAGGGATGTATTCCCACCCACGAGGGGAGGTGTTCCCCAGAAATTAAAGAAGAAGCTGAAGCTATTTGCCAATTCCTAAAAATGCTGGACAAAGACGTAACAGAAAATAAACCATTGGCGCTCTTAAATTGGATCGTCACAAATGAACCGGCACTTCCATTGATGCCTTACGGCTCTTTTAGTTTCTTTTTTTTTTTCTAATTTTATAAGCTTTATAAGTAATTATAAGTAGTAGAAGTAGCTTTTAGAAGTAGCTATATTATATCCCTCACCCTTTGGCACAATAGTTTACACATTCCCTACCCCATCACCCCATTTTATGTTCCCCATATCAATCCCTGAATTCCAGTAGAAAATGTTTAGTCTTTTGTCAAGGCAAGGTCTATGCTGTTTAGAGAACACTCATATCTTGGCCTGAACCACAGAACACGGTCAGAAACTAGGTGACCATGTACCCTTTGTGCTTTGAAGAAGATGAAGATGATGAAGAAAAGCCCCCAGACCCAGTTCCCAGGGGGTGGGCCAGGGGGTGGGCCAGGGCAAAAGTTACGGGATGGACAAAACTACGGGATGGACAAAACTTGAATTGGTCGGGCAGTATTATAAATTGTGACACCTGAACACGGCCTGCGCGCGTGTCCTGTGATCTTTATGCCTAGGCACAAATTAAACCCTTTTCTTATCTCATCCTCAATTAACTGCTCCGGAGTTGTTTTCCTCAGCACCCTTAGGCATCAGCTGGTGGCCCATATGGGGAAATCAGAGACCTGAGGCTACTCCAGATTGGAAACTTTCATCCTGCAGGAATTCTTCATCAGCCGGCGTTTTTTAGAATTCCCGCAGTGATCTAGGGAAGCCCCAGCTCCACAGAACCAAGCATGGAGCACAGAGGTGAGTTAAGAAAAGGGTGAATAAGGAAAAAGTTTTTTTTTTTTTGTTAACAGCTGCAGAAGAGTTTTTATGTTTCCCAGGAGACAGGGAACACGGTGGTACTGGAAAGGCTTGGACTTGGGCCCGGAAGTCGTGAGAGTCAATTTCCGGAGGCAAAAAGGGTTTCACCGAGTGCAGGTCAGAGTGGATTTGTGTCAGCCTAGGGCTGGGTTTTGTTTTGGTGGGAGGGGGACGCCCTTCCAGAGTGCTCTGTTGCTACAAGGAGCTGGGGGGGCTCTGTAGTTAAGTGGTTAAAGTAACAACTTTGTAACCCTAGACCTGCAGGTTTAAGTCTCGCAGTGAAAAGTTTTTCTGTGTCTATTAAACAGTATGGGCAGTACACAATCCAAGGGGGTACGGAGGACTCCCCTTTAGTCCTAATTTTACACCCCTGGGACAATCTGAAACACCTTTAAAGAAGCAAGAACTGTGTTGGTTATCTATGAATGTGTGGCCTTTATACGGGAACCAAAGGGGGTAGCGTGGCCAAAACTTGGAACGTTCGAATTAGATACTGTAATGCAACTTATGATGCTACATAGAGAGGAAAAATGGGAAGAAATCCGGTGTGCAGAATTGTTTCTATTTCTTTTAACGCGGCCTGAGTGGAAAAAGCAGTACAAGAGAGCCCCGATGGGGAAAAGGAAGCCTGAGAAAGTGGCGGGAGCGAGTCCCGCTGGCGTAGACGATGGAACAGAGGCTGTCGGTTTGGCCGGAGCGGGCACAGCGGCACAGATAAGATCTATAAGGTCGGCTTTTGTTGGAACTGCTTTCGGCGCGGCAGAGCTGGGCGGGGGTAATACAGACGCTGCAGGGCTGGCGAGCTCGGAGGTAATGTCTGGTTTGATCGCAACAGGGATAACAGCAGGAGCGACTCCTGGCCCCACAGGGGCAATGGAAGCGAGACCCTCCCCGCCTGTTCCGGTGAGTGTGGGGAGAGCAGCCCGTTCCCTTGCAGCTGCACGTGGCTTTGCCGGAGCAGATGGGGTTGTCACGGTAACAGCAGAGGTGAGCACAGGCACAGCAGAGGAAGTGAGAGCTGAAGTTGTGAGTTCTACCAGTGACGTGACAAGAACTGTGAGGTCTAAAAAGTCAGCTTTTACTGGGGTTGCTTTCGGCGTGGTGACACCAGAAAAAGTTACTGTAGATGCGGCATCTGTTGTAGAGGGAAGGGAGACTTTAGAAATCGCGGCGAGAGATGCGCCAAGACCAGCCGGTGTAGTGACGGTGACAGGCATCGGGGTCGCTGGCTCTGACGGTGGCAGTGAAGGTGCCAGCCCCGGGGTGTTTGTGGAACCGAGCAACCCAGCACCGCAGACAAGCGCTGGAGCCGTTGATTGTCAGTGGCGATAGCGGTGTGAGAGCTGTAAAAACGGGGCTGTGTGCCTCGATTGCAGGGGGGACCCCAGAGTTGAGTGCTGCGAACACAGCAGACTGTGCCACTGCAGTAGCAAATGCAAAGGCAATAAACTGGTCTAAGATGTATGAAGTTAGACAGGATACGAATGAGTCACCCACAGATTTTTCTGAATAAGCTGAAAGATGTCATAAGAAAATACATTGATATTGATATAGAGTCAGACCTGGGGAAAAAACACCTAGTGTATTTGTTTGTAGGTGTCCTAGTTAGGACAACTGAGACCAGTTCATCAGGGTATGGGTGTAACCCAAAACTGTGTATTCTATAGCCTTCCATGCCATTTCCCAGAAACTGATATCAATGAACCATTTACACCCTCTGCCCATAGAGCCTGACTCCTCAGGCTATAAACTAGGTGTTAAGAGGCCTGTGAGATAGGAGGATGCTCCTGTCCTCACACCCTTTGTGGAACTCCCCGCCCTGAGGGAAGTGCTGAGCATTCCTGCCTGAACTGCAGGATATATAATCTTGGAGTCTTGGAACATTTTTAACCACTCTGTGGGATCCAGAGAAGGACTGCGGCTCATCGCTCTCAAACAGACTTGGATCACCACCCTATACTGGACTCCAATCACCACTTTGACCAGACTGCAACAGCTCTCCCACCAGCATCTCACTGCAATCACCACTTTTGACCAGACTGCAACAGCTCTCCCACCAGCAGGTTCTTCCCCTCTCCCTTTACTTTGGACTCAAACAGGGCCCAAGGAACGCCACGTTGTTCATGCCCCAGGGTACTGGGTTATACATTTGGGTTTTGTGGGTTAAGACCAATTGTTTGTTTGTATGATTGTACTTACTGTATTATTTTAGTAAATTGTTATTCTGACTTATAATCTCTCCTTTGAGTTGAGTTCATTTCCCCTGCTGGTTAACTCTTAAACCAGCACACTCATGCTCTTTTCTGCTCTGACAAAAGGATCCACCATCTCTAAATCCTCCCTTCAAGCCCTCTCAGGGCTGTCCTGTGCTGTCCTCAGTCTCCACACCAGTGAGGCCACAGCTCCTTAGCCCCTCTCTAGTGCTCCTGTGCTTGAGACCTTTAAAGTCCATCTTGGGAGATCTCTGGGCACTCACAGATGTTTTTGCAGATGAAAATATCGTGCTCATAGTCTAAGTAAATCATAGTTGTCATGAAAACCAGCATTCCCATTGCTAAGGTCAGTTACCATGGCAACCATCACACATTCCCATTGTTACAGTCAGTTACCATGGCAACGATCATACATTCCCACTGGTATGCTTGGTTACCATGGCAACCAGCATACATTCTCATTGCCATGGTCAGTTACCACGGCAACCATCATACATTGCCATTGGTACAGTCAGTTACCTTGGCAACCATCATACACTCACATTGCTACGGTCGGTTACTATGGCAACCATCATAAAGTCCTGTTGCTATGGTCAGTTACCAAGGCAATCATCATACATTCCTTTTGCTACTGTCAGTTACCATGGCAACCACCATACATTCCCACTGCTACGGTCGGTTAACATGGCAACCATCATACATTACCATTGCTGTGGTCAGTTACCATGGTAACCATAATACGGTCCACTGCTACAATCAGTTACCATGGCAACCATCATACAGCCGTGTTGGCACGATCAGTTAGCATGACAACCATCTGAATTCCAGTTTCTATGGTCAGTTACCATGGCAACCATCATACATTCCCATTGTTACAGTCAGTTACCATGGCAATGATCATACATTCCCACTGGTACGCTTGGTTACCATGGTAACCATTATACAGTCCCATTGCTATCATCAGTTACCATGGCAAACAGCATACATTCCCATTCCTACGGTCAGTTACCATGGCAACTAGCATACATTCCCATTGCTAAAGTAGGTTACCATGGCAACCATCATACAGTCATGTTGCTATAGTCATTTACCATGGCAAATAACATAC